AAAATGCAATTTTAACATTTTTGTTGGTTGAATAAGTTTTACTAGATAAAATTGTCTTTTAAAATATACATAACAGTATTTGCCTATGCCGTTGAATAAAAACAACGAAACTAATAGCCATTTTCTATAAAGGCTGATTTTTAATCATAGTAGCCATTTTTTCAATTACAATCTCAGGGAAATTCGTAAAACGGTCATTTGTTTTGGCTAACGTGCATACGTTCTCGTTTATTGTGATGTGAATTCCAGCTAGATATGGCTTTAAATTATCTACAACAATACGGAACCACTAGTGAAAGTGAGCAGGAGCCAGATGACAGTATTCCGCGTCGTAAACCCACAAAGCGAGAAGTAGTAGCTCTGGAGACTAAAACGATTAAGCGAATTAAGCGAACACAGTGGTGCCTGGAAATTGTGCAGCATGTCCTCTGGATTGTGAATCTAAAATAGATAGAGAAATGCGGCTACGCATCAATGAGTCGTATTGGAACAAGACGCCTGCCGATCAAAAAGGTTTTATCCGGGAAAACGTTCTGCAGATCGAAGTTAAACGTAGACGCATACGTGCCGTTGTGCATCGGAAATGTTTTACATATAAATATCATTTGAAAGATTCCTTTTTCAGTTCGCAGAACGTTCGTGCAACATTTTTTCTGAACACAATTGGGTATGAAAAATCTTGCAGGTATGAATTCTGTTCTTAATAGGCGTAGTATTTGTTTGTAGTACATCAATTGTAAATTTCAGTAATACTATCTCTCGCGCGTTCAAGAAAGAAGCATCGCGTGACTGGAATATTGATAAGAGGGGTATGCTGCAAAAATTAAAGAGCAGAGATCTGAAAAAGATGGTCACGGAAGACATACTATTACATAATCCTACGATATCTCACTATCGACGGATCCATGCTCCAAATGTTAAATACTTGCCTTCGGACCTTTCAGCCAGACGCTTGTTTGATGCATATATTGCAAAGCAGACCGATAAAAATACGAAGTGTTCATACCAATATTACTGCGGGTATATTTTCTTGTATAAATCTGTGGACATTTAAAAAATTATATTTTTTACTACAGCATACTTCGAGCTATGAACATCAAATTCACCAAGCTTGGACTAGAAGAATGCGAAGTATGTGAAATTCACCATCAGCATGTAGCTGAGGCTGGCCATAATCATGATTCACCAACAAACGAACCAGCAATTGATCTTTGTGAAGCCTGCAAAATGTGGCACGATCATAATCTACGGGCACGCACATCTCGCGAAGAATATCAAAAGGATAAAACCAATAAGAAAGCAATAATTATGTCCGTTGATCTGCAAAAGGTATTTTTTTGCATTCAACAACACATGAATATTTATTGAGTATTGATGTTTATTACAGGTGGTTCAAATACCAAGGATGGACTCTTATAAAACCGTCATATTCACGAAGCGAATAAACATTTTGCACCAAACGTTTGCTCCAGTTGGAGGAGCAAAGCATGGTTTAGTTTATGGTTTCGTTTGGGATGAATCCATTAGCGGAAGAAAGGCATCAGACATCACGAGCTGCTTTCTAAAATATCTGCAAATTGAGCGGAGCGCTAAGCATATTGTGCTTTGGCTAGATAATTGTAGTAGTCAGAATAAGAACTGGAATCTGTTCTTATTTATGATCCTTCTTGTAAATTCAACGTTGCTTGAGACTAACGTTATTGAATTTAAGTATTTTGAACCGGGACACACCTTTATGTCCGCTGATTCGTTCCATCATGCTGTTGAAAAACGAATGTAATCAGCTGATAAAGGGGAAGTTCATACATTTGAAGATTTTTATACTTGTGTCAACACTGCTCAAGAAAATTCCGTCGCAGTGAAAATGCAGGCATTTGATTTTTTTACCTGTGCAAACCGGCAACCAAGCTGAGACCTCGACCGAAACTTAATGAGGTGAAGCTTATCATATTTTCAAGAGGATCGTATAATTTTACGTACGCCAATGAATTTTCTGGAGCAACAAAATCGTGCAACTTCTTCACCAGAGAACAAATCAGGAAAGTTCAATCAGCTGATTTCGACATTTCATCTACGATGCATTTCCGGATGTTACCAAAAGGAGTCGAACTTACACGTAAGCAAGGAATAATACAAAAAATTCTACCGTTGTTGCCTCCCGACAAAAAAAAATGTACTGGTATAACCTTCCAACCCACGATGACATATCGGATGAAGAATCATAATACCAATGAAAAAGCATAATAATAATGTGTGATTATATTGTAACATTTACCATTTTCATTTCCCTTGCTCTTTCCATTTATTATACATCAATAAAGCTGTTATAAATAAATAAAAACATTCTTTCCATAATATATTTAATTAAAGAGTCTTGCGATAAGCTGTAAAACCGAAAAATTTCTGAATCTTTAACATTTATTTAAAAAAAAAAATTATAAAAGTTTTATACGATAGATGGAGTAGATGAAGCATAGAGTTGATAGTTCCGTTAGAGTACGGCAGTGTGAAGATTGTATATAGATATTAGAATAGCGAACTAGGACAACTTTTAAGGAAGGTACAAATCGGTTTTTTCATCTCTCTTTACCAAACTCCCCCTTTGGAGAGGGATGGTGAGGGGTGTGTCCCCCCCCCCCGCCACCACTGGCAAAAAGAGATGAAAACCTACGACTGGATGCCTTCCTTCAAATAACAATTGAAGTGCGGTAAAAATCGGTAGAACTGTTTCAAACACACAGTTGGTACTTGAACGGGTCGGTTTTCATCTCTTTTTGCCAGTGGTGGCGGGGGGGGGGGACACCCCTCACCATCCCTCTCCAAAGGGGGAGTTTGGTAAAGAGAGATGAAAAAACCGATTTGTACCTTCCTTAAAAGTTGTCCTAGTTCGCTATTCTAATATCTATATACAATCTTCACACTGCCGTACTCTAACGGAACTATCAACTCTATGCTTCATCTACTCCATCTATCGTATAAAAATTACCACTACAGTCTGTTATTTGAAATTAGCATCTTCAACTATGTAAATCGTTGACTTCACGTAGAAGTAATACTAAAAACATATAGTCAAAGTATAAAAGTTTAACATAAAACAAGTTTTGAATCCTGAATCTTCCGATTTTCAACTTGATGCCTGTGACCACTTGACTATAAAACCATCTTACTTGATGTTAAAAAAATCCCTATTAAAAACACACTGGTTGCTGCGCTCGGTTTCAGACTGATCATGCACATTAGACAATTTCTCATTTATATTGCACATTAGCCATCTAGTTTTTCAAGTCGTTTATCCACACCAATCAATTTTTTCAAAATTGTATACAGTGGGGACCTTGACAAAAGTGCCACATATCAACTAACACCATTTTCTCGATTTTGACAAAAATGGCTTATTAGCCAATTTCTCATTTATGGGCAGTGCGTTTTATTTTATGTTTAATGTTTACGTTCAGCATTGATAAGCAATCATAGAACTTTTATTTATTCTTATAAGCAATCTAACATATATGAACAAATAAAAAAAAATCGTAACTGGTTGACCAACATCGACATTGATAGTGCGGTGAGAAAGGTACTTCCTGACAGCAAGCTAGTTGCTCAAGGACAACGTTATACCAAAGTTAAGATCTCATCTCCTGATGAATCAATTCGAAGCACCCGCCGCTGCCAGGATGTTGGAATCGCGATTGCACCAGATTACTGCTTAGGATCATGAAATGAATTTTGGTATTGAGCGAATGGATTTGTATTGAATCCCAGATCTTCACGGTGCTGGAACTGAGACGATGTATAATTCCATCCATCACCAGAACAGCACACCATATCCTGCTGCTTTGGATCGTATCATGTCTATAATAAATCGAAATTCCAATAATTGTCCGACCATGATTGCAAATACTTTACGTAAACTTACTACAACTAACAGTCCGTCGATCCAGTAGTAATTTTAATTTACTACATCCATCTTACACCGATTAAATTTCATAAAATTAAATAAACTTTTAAACTTTTGCTTACACCAAATGACAAAGCGAAACCGAAATAAACATGACGCCTGATGAGATTTTTCAACGAAAACGAATTGCAATCAACCGGTGGAAACTAACGATTTTAAATTGGCTCACTACTTGACTAGCCTATTGGTCCCAAGCAAATCGATTAACGAACCCTATTCTTGTCAAAATTCTAGTACTACATAATGATTGTTTTGATTTGCTATGAAAGTTTGACAGATAAAATGAGGGGTTAGTGGATTTCCCTATGTTTCGAGGGGTGAATCGATTAGCTTGGGACTGAAGAGCGTACCAGAGCTGAGCCAAAAAGTTGAGCACGTTATTTCGGGACCTACTTGTCTTAGAGTTACCTCTATGGTGCAATCGCAACACTCGATTTTGGATACTTTAAAGCACGGTAAACGAAACAATTTAAAATCAAGATAAATAATCCTTAAAAATAACAGCTCTCTCAATACTGATGCTTGAGTAAAATTAATGTACAGAAGACGTTATCGTTATACTTCAAGCTTAAGTTAAAAGTACTCATCTATGGGAACAAAACTATACTTAAAACAGTAGTGTTGCGGGAGTACTTATTTTTAAGTACTTTCTATCTCGATTTTGAGTTGCTTCGTCTTTCCGTGTAGCTCTGTAAGCCATCACACTTGAACGCACTTCCATTCATCCCCATAAAAACATTCTTTGTTCCGCCGACAATACCGCCTTAAGTCAAGCGCCACACAATCTCAATCAAGTATATTAGAATTAATTTCTGTTTCCTCTCTTCATTTCATTGTCAACTTCACGCCATTCGCACGATTGACTACAGTTTATTACCGCAACATTTCAATCTGCTTCAATTGAGTGTACAGACAGCCGGTCGGCAATGCATGTAGTAGGACTTTACCCGTATGATCGGCAAATGCTCCATTCCTTTCTAGTCAATTGCGCCCTCAAACACGTCTAAGGAACTAATTGACAATTGTATATACGCTATTACAGAACGTTGTAAACTATGACACAGCAAAAGATGGCGTCGCAGTCGATCCAGACGGGCAACCACGCGAGAAGTGGGGCAAGAAGATCGAGTTCCTGCTGTCGTGCATTGCACTGTCGGTGGGATTTGGAAATGTTTGGAGATTTCCATACACGGCACTGCAGAACGGAGGCGGGGCATTCGTGATCCCATACTTGATCGTCCTGTTTGTGGTTGGGCGGCCACTGTATTACTTGGAGATGGTCGTTGGGCAATTCTCCAGCCGGGGATGTATTAAGGTGTTCGATTTGTGTCCCCTGATGAGGGGCGTTGGAGTAGGGCAGACCATAACATTGTTCACGATCGTCGGGTACTACGCAGCATTACTATCGTTGGCTGTGAGGTACTTTGTGGACTCGTTCCGTGCTCCTTTGCCGTGGAGTGAATGTCAACGGGAGTGGACAGACTGCGTGGGTTCGAGTTTTATTGGGCAAATCCATTCCGATGAACGGAATGGGAGCGTTGTGCCGTCTGCGGAGTTGTACTTTACGTAAGGCTTCTGGGTAGTTGCCTAACTGAGGGAAAAGACGATTTATTGATCATTCTAGGAAGACGATAATGAATATGCTACCAAACATCGACAATGGGATTGGAGTTCCGGATTGGAAGTTGGTAATTTGTCTACTCGTTTGCTGGATTGCGATCACGAGTCTGCTGATCAAAGGGATCAAGAGCTCCGGGAAGGCTTCGTACTTTCTAGCCATATTTCCGTACGTGATTTTGTTCATATTGCTAGTTAGGGCTTGTACCCTGACTGGAGCCCTGGACGGTTTGAAGTACTTTGTGACACCACAGTGGGGAAAACTGCTTGAGCCTACGGTTAGTCCTTCATGAATTTCTAATATATAATTGCCTTAAACTATTCTTTAAAATTTAAGGTCTGGTACGCAGCCGTCAGCCAATGCTTCTTTTCACTAACCATAGGCCTAGGAGCGGTCATCGTATTCTCGTCGTTCAACAGCTTCTCCAGCAACATCTATCGGTAAGCCGTCACGATCTTCACCCCACGAAACAAATTTGGCCCAGAATCTTCTCTTCATCAGAGACGCCATGATCATCTCCTGGTTGGACACCTTTACCTCGCTGATCTCCGGAGTCATCGTATTCGGAGTGGTGGGTAACCTTGCTCACGTCACAAAGAGGGACGTTTCCGAGGTCATGAAGGCAGGTCCTCAGCTGGTATTTGTCATCTACCCGGACGCGATCGCCAAAATGGACTTTGTTCCGAATCTGTTTGCAGTCATGTTCTTCCTAATGTTTATCCTGCTAGGTTTGGGCACCAACATGGGAGTTGTGACGGCTATAATGACATCAATCAGGGATCGCTACCCACATGTTCAGACCTGGAAGGCAGCAGTGGGGATCGCCGTTGCTGGGTTCAGCTATGGATTGGTGTTCATAACTCCGGTGAGTGTTGATCATATGATCTTTAAGAAGCTAGATCAAGCATAATCGATGCTTTGCAGGGTGGTCTCAACGTACTGGACGTGATAGACTACTACGGTGTGACGTTTCCCACCCTAACGTTGATCATTCTGGAGGTGATCACATTCTGCTGGATCTACGGAGTTAATCGAATATGCGTGGACATCAAATTTATGCTTGGAATTAAGACGGGAATTTTTTGGAGGGTTTGCTGGGGATTCCTCACTTTGTTCATAATAGTTGCCATCTTTATACTAGAAGCGAGTAGATACAAGCTGATGGAGGTTCCGATGGGATATAATGGTGAGTGAAGGAACCGGAATTAGAATCTTTTCGAGCAAGAACAATTTATTTTCAAGTTTTTGGATGGTGCCTGTATTCGTTCACTGTGCTACAAACCGTTGGCTGGGGCTTCTATGCAATCTACAGGCAATCTGGGATGCACGGTGCGCAAAAAATCGTACAATCATTGAAGCCAACCCCGGACTGGGGTCCCGAAAGTGTCAATCTTCGGAAGGACTACTACTCAGAGCTTGAGAAATACCAGAATTCCACATGTGAAAATCAAACTCCCATGCTGAGGGTGTACAGGAGAATATTCGAGTGATTATTTTTAGGAATATGTTCAAGTGTACCGTGGAGGCACCATATTCGAAGTGGTTCCTAAATCGACGCACTCAATAATGTTCGACTATATTCAATAATTATTTTTGAAATGTTACTTCTGCAAATATTAGTTGCTTTGCTCTAGGGATGTTGGTGTGACAAAATTAAAAAAAATATCTTGTCAAAATCAAGATGCGATAAAAATTAGTCGAGTGCGTCATCATTAGGGACGCGTCAAATATAGTGCTGGCACGGTAATAGACTTAATTTATCCTAGATAATGTTTTGTTTATTTATTTAACAAAAAATGGAGGACGTGATACGTACGCAATTTTGATAGCGATTCCGCACTTTTGAGGAGTTCAAATTTAAAAATCAAGTACAATACAAGTCTTGTCCACGAGTAAACACGTTGAAAAGTTATTAGGCATCCGTGCCTCGTTTACTTTCCAGGTTGGATTCCGAAATGTTTTGTTAGTTTATTGTCCCCCTTGGTCGTTTGCGGCGGTAAACTTATCGTGCTTATATTACGTCATCAAGAAACTATTCAATTTAATTTAAATATTCAAAGCTCAACAAACAAGACATCAATTAATTTGAAGTTGAGCCCAATTCACCCAAACTACACGTTGTTGGCAGTGAACTGCGCGCTTTTCGACATTCATGATTTGGCGCGCTCGGAATCCATCCGTTCTCTTCATTCGTCGAGAAGAAAAACGGAGAGCAAACAAATTCCTCTCAAAATTCATTCCCATCGTCGACATCCATTTCTCAAAGTGTATGTGTGTTAGTGCAATTGCCAGGCCCTTTGCATCGATCCCATCGCTGCTGTCATTTTCGCTTCGTTTATGTTTACTTCACTAGATGCTTCCACTGAAATAATCGCAGATTCCGAACATCCGTGGGGCACTGTTTAAATTCCACCAAAGAGTAAGTATTTCTACAATGCTTGATACATTCAATAACCCAGAACAAACGTTCTTGTTTCCAGTGACCCGTACCTGCATGGTGAGAGGATGCAAAAGCCGAGTCAAACCCGGCATGAAGACTCCGAGCGAAGTGAAATTCTTCCGATTTCCCCGTATTGACCGTAGAACCAAAACGCGCGAAACGCTATCCATTACCAGGCGGAAACTGTGGTGCAAAGTGCTCGGTGTATCTGAATCGAGACGTTTGGACCATTATGTGGTGTGTTCGTTCCATTTCAGATCAGGTGAGTACTTAGTACATTCAATCCAGTTCAGGTTCATGTAATAAATAGCTGTTTCTTCTTTTAGGCCACAGCGCCGAATTAAGTGAAGATTGGCACACGGATTGGGTACCCAGTCTGTACTTGGACCCTTTCTCGGCAGCTAGCATACAACGCAACAATCATAAGAATCCCCCAGAGCTGATTACTGCGGATCCCTCACGGAGCCGGTTCGATCATTCCGCTCCTACCTTGTTGCTGGATGACGAAAGTGACGATAGCTACGAGTACGACGTCACGGATATGGTGAAAGATCCACAGCTCGAACCACCCGAACAGACACTGGTCATTGAGGACAAAAGCGGAGCTCAGCGGGAAGCGATTATTGATTTGTATGCACAGCCTAACGAGATGTTCGATGAATGACAATGTGCTGTGAACATGAGTTAAATGTAATCTATGCTTTAATTATATTCATTACTAAAGGATCTGGGTACATAAGTTTTATTCGGTCTTGAAGTTGAGGATCTTCCACATACGCACGGTGATCGTGCTTGTGGATGTTATTGGGGCAGCAGTAGAAGTCGTGGTCGTTGTAAACAGCCAAAAGAATGGAGGTGCCGTGGAATGTTCGAGGGACGTTTGTACACCCCTATTCTGTATTTCGTTTCGAACGAAATTCTCATACAAAAAAATATTTTTTTGTATGAGAATTTCGTTCGAAACGAAATACAGAATAGGGGTGGTAGTGTAGTGTATTCCTGTTGGTTCATTTGATGAATCTGTATCAACAGAAGACGCCACTGATGGTTGATTGGAAGAAAGCGTCGTACTTATTTGTAGAGCCGTTCGCTGCCGGTGGTTAGTAAAACCGGAACAACCCACTAGCGACACTCAATTTTACCCTCGTTCTGTACGTTGAACAAAGTATCGGAAGTGCACACCACATTTTTTAAATCTTGTTCGATACTTTTTGCTGGATTTGTTCGGTGACATATATTTTTACCTAATCTTTTGCAAACAATATTATTTCACCAATTTTCCACAAAAATAACTGCTGAATTGCCGTAATTTAAAGAAATTTACCGAGAACTATAAAAAAAACTTGCTGATCAAAACTGTAAATGGCTACGATTCCGCATTTTTGTAAAAATTGTGACAAATGTACTGACTTTTTTTTGCTCGATTCCGTTCAATTTATATCGAACATGATGAAAATCCCTGTACAAAAATATGTGGTTAATGAGCCGAATTATTTTTTTTTTTGTTCAGTGGAAGAAAAAAGCAATTAAGTAATCAATATAAAGAGAGAACCTAGGTACATTTTCAATTAGAAGATAAGGTGGACCTAACCTCCTATGGAACCAGTGCTTACTCTTTGATGTGTCCTAGATAGTAACCGTTTCCTAAATCCCTGTTGAGTAAAGTTTAATGCCGTTGTTTGTTGATCTCGAGGCTCTGCAACATCCAATTTCCTTGGTGTAGTATACTAGTAGTATATGGCTCGTAAAATCGTAATGTCCTCCGTCGATGTTGGTCCACTGTAAACATAATAACAAATTTTGCAACTTTTGATTTGAAATCATATGTTAGGCCTTTCTCCTCTTGATCCTTATTTGGCCTTATTAACCTCCGAAACATGTTCTTTAAATCTAGTTGTTCTCTTGGTTTGGCAGGTGTCGAAAAGCACAGTGAAGGATACATTTTTTCATACAAACAGGCCGCCATTACCAAACATGGAAAGCTGGATAGAGAACAACTCTATAGTATAGTCGCTATATTCATAGTCTGGCGGATAGAATCTCGGGAACCAATTGAACTGTCAAATATCGGAACCAATCGAGCAAATCACGACCAACAACAGAAAAGAGCACATCAGCTATTGCGAACAAAACTTCGGAAACCGTTTTCTCGTGGTTCAAGGCTTGCCTACGCAAACTAACACTATCTTTGCGTTGGGGAAAGATTCCCCTATCTGGTGATGCCGGTAATTTGCGTTCGATTGTCGAGGAAAGAATAATCAAAGTTTTGTTTATGAATGTTGATAGGACCTTTTCAATTGTTGGTCTACAATATATTGAATTGGTTCCGCTCTTTGATAGATCGAAATTCTAACCGCCAGACTATGAATATAGCGACTATACTCTATAGTCGCTATAGTTATAGCACAAACGAAGTGACAGACGGAGCGGCTCGAAAACTTTGGTGACTAACCTGCTATTGCAATTTTTCAGTGTACCACATGGCAACACCACTACTACTGGATTGTACCACATGGCAACACTACTATTAGATTGAACTAGCATTTTCACCAAATGTACTAGAATGTTTTGGTTCTATCTCATTCACTCTACTCAAAACTGAAATGCATAAAAAAATGACAAAATGATACGCACTCTTTGCACACTGTCAAAGAATCATTGTACACAAAATCAACTTTGTTCAAATCAAAACAAAAAAACTAACCCATCTGGTGGATGATGGCACAAGCTTCCAAGAAAATTCTATTACAGTGAACCACATTATTTAAATGGATTTCTTCGCCAGTTAGTCGTCTGTAACTTCGTTTGTGGTTATAGCATAGAGGTAACTCTAAGACTAGAAGGTCCCGAAATAACGGGCTCAACTTTTTGGCTCAGCTCTGGTACTCTCTTCGGTCCCAAGCTAGTTGATTCACCCCTCGAAACATAGGAAAATCCACTAACCCCTAATTTTATCTGTCAAACTTTCATAGCGAATCAAAACAAACATTGTGTAGTAGTAGAATTTCGATTAGAATGGGGTACGTTAATCGTTTGCTTGGGACCAATAGGCTAGTCAAGTAGTGAGCCAATTTCAAATCGTTAGTTTCGTATTGATTGTTGGTTATAGTCTATAAATAATAGGCGGATAGAATTTCGATCAATCAAAAAGCGGGACCAATTCAATATCTTGTAGACCAAAAATTGAAAAGGTTCTATCAGGTTTTATAAACAAAACGTTTATTATTAATTCCTCGCCAATCTAACGCAAATTACCGGCATCATCGGATAGGGAAAACTCTCCCCAACCCTAAGATGGTGTTAGTTTGCGTATGCGAGCCTTGAGTCACGAGCAAAGGGTTTCCGAAGCTTTGTTCGCAAAAGCTGATGTGCTCTTTTCTATTGTTGGTCGTGATTTGCTCGATTGGTTCCGCTATTTGACAGTTCAATTGGTTCCCTACACGGATAGAAATCTCCTTATACCTTTTGGCAAATTTCCATTGCTGATTATTCATAAAATGTATAAGTCAACTAATAAGCAGACGCCTTGCAAAAAGTTAATAAAGATCATGTGTCAAATGAAATGTATTAGCGGTCACACATACCTTTTATGCATTCTAATAGGACCTATGTGGTTTGTCTTATGGAATGTATAAGGCTGATGCTTTGGCAAAAATGTATAAGTGAAACACATGAATTAAATAATTGATTTTCGTTTCGTGTAGTTGCTATCCACCAGACTATGAATATAGCGACTATAAGAACAACTGGTGCAAGTTTAATCAAAGTAGTCGATCGCGTTCAGAAATAACGTCATATGGAACTCAAAAGAAGAAAAAAAATTTGTGCACAAACACCTGGAAAAGCTGGAGTGCTCCGGTTCCAAGCTGGCTAAAGCGTTAAAGTTGCCGAAAACATCAGTTTGTCGAGTGCTCAAAACCTACAAGGAAACCCTGAGTTTGGAAAGGAATCAGGGGACCTACGAAAAAACTGGAACCAGGGATCGTCAGCAAGGTGTTGAGGTGCGTTAACGCCAACCCCGGTCTTTCGATCCTAGATGTGGCCAGAAGGTACAACGCCAACTTTCAAACAGTGCGGAACATCCTTACCAGGAAAGGATACAAGTCGTACAAAGCCAGTAAACATCCGAACAGGCACATGAAGCAGAATTCCGTGGCCAAAAAGCGTGCAAGGCTCTTATACGACCGTGTTTTGACGAAACACAAGAGCTGCACTTTGATCGCTGACGAAACATACGTCAAACTCGATTTTAAGCAGCTTCCCGGTCAAAAGTTTACATCGCGACTGGACATGGGGATGTCCGGGAAGATTTATGTTCGTGTTTACCGACAAGTTCGCGAAGAAGGGCATGATTTGGCAAGCGATTGTTGGTTTGTTTTTCGTCGATCTTGTTTTCCGTACTGAGGCTGTGTTCCATTACTTAAATTTGACAGATGGAATTTTTTTCCTTTGGTTTGTTTTTTCCGTCGATCTTGTTTTCCGTGCTGAGCACCAATGCTACCGACGTGCCAGGAAGGCAGCTCCCACACCTGGAAGTACCTATCGACCCATCAACTCATGAACCGGGGACCAACGGCTTTAGTTCACATCCGAAGGAAGGCGTGATCATAGATGTTATGCCTCAGAACATCCCGGCGGCGCATCGGAATTTTTTTAAATAAACCTGTTATTGTACCAGACTTATTTATGATAGACTATATAGGAATCAATTTGGACGCACACCTTCTCGAAAATCGGCCGATCAACAACAGAGGGATTTTCGAACATCTTAATTTATTTTCGAAGTGTCAAATTTAAGTGAAAATTCACCAAATGGAACACAGCCTGATTACCAATGCTACCGACGCCAGGGAGGCAGCTTCCACACCTGGACCCTACCAATCGACCCATCAACTCATGAACCAGAGACCAACGGCTTTACCATAGAGGTAACTCTAAGATCAGAAGGTCCCAAAGAAACAAGCTCAACTTTTTGGCTCAGCTCTGGTACTCTCTTCGGTCCCAAGCTAATCAATGCATCCCTCGAAACATATGAGCATCCACAAACCCCTCATTTTATCTGACAAACTTTCATTTTCATATCGAATCAAAACAAACATAGTGTAGTACTGGCATTTATACTAGAATGGGGTACGTTAATCGATTTGCTTGGGACCAATAGGCTAGTCAAGTAGTGAGCCAATTTAAAATTGTTAGTTTCGTATTGATTGTTGGCTTTACTTCGCTTCCCTTACATCCCGACGGCGCCGATTGGGATTGAACCCGTTTTTTTATGAGAGGCACGGAAGATGAATACTAACATGAAACTGTCGGAAGAAAAACTTTCTATTTTAGTGTTCTCTTTCACGGTCCTTTTCATACAATGAATACCCTCCGTATTCAAGGTAATTTTGTGGTTTTGCTGCCCCCTCGGTAGAGATGAAATTTTGCGCTCATTTTTATCAAAACAAACACACCAAAATCAGACATGTACCATTTTTTAATTACTCGAATAACAACTAATCGATTTTTTTGATCACTGTGCTGCCATTTTTCCACCAATGAGAGTGCAGCACATGTTTGAAACGATCGGTGATGATCCTCTGGAGAAGTTAATGCTTATATCGGCATGATATAACCGATTACAAATATTTTACTTTTCGGTTCGTTAATCGATTAATCGATAATTCGAATGAAAATCGGCCATCACTAAATGAATGTGAAA